ACATTACAAAAGCCTTGGGCTGCCATCATCATCATTTTGTGGAGCATGTTGTCTCGAGAATTGACTTGGTAATACACACCATTAATTGTGACTATGAGATATACACATGGCAGTTCTGTGCCGTTGCAAAGGAAGCTGAATCCTCCATTTGGATATAGATTGATGAAGTCGATGGGCCCCATGTATCCATTGTTTAAGGCATAGGGATTGCTGGGAGGTACTGCAATATTCCTTGAGACTTCGACATATGTGTGTTACCTCCTCTTGTCAGTAACCCTGACATCTATAGAACCCATGTCATAGTTCTCCAGGTTGGTTGACACTAGTGGCATGTATTCTGTGATCCAAATGAAATGAGGTAACAATCCAATTTCCATATTTGGGTGTAGTTGAGAATCATGTCAACGTCATGTCACACTTGTCATTCCAAGTACATCCACCCATTTGTGATTTTGATTTCCCATTTTTTTCTCGATGGGAACATGCATGGTCCTCATGGTCCCTCAGTATTCCTAGAATGTTTTCTATGTTTGTGTTGGTCTCAGCTTGAATTTTCAACACAAGGAGAGAGGGGTTCAGATCTAACCTTTTGCAGGTTCAATATATTCCTATTGGACAAGAGCAGTGCATTTCAGTGACCTCCAGGCTCCCAAAATATCTTTCAAAGTGATGGTGGATTCATCAAGTGGCTGCCATGAAGGGTTCGAGCAGAACAGCTGAGAGTGAATACATGCAGGCGACAACAGTGAGCGAGATGCTGCTTGTCGCAATATAACCATTGTGAGCAGTTTGCTGTCATTGTGCTGTGAACAATACCTTGTCAGGCTGGTATTGGTGACAGCCGACATTATTTCCCAGACTCCTTTTCACAAGTGGCACCTGCAACAGAAATCTGGCTGCCGACTAGCTTGGTGCTCTTGCATGACTTGAACACGATCACCATGGCAGGGTCGCATGTGTCTGCACCAGGGTTGAGAGTTCAGAAATTCTGGCTGATACTATCCACTTACAATTGAGATACACTTCCTCAGCCACCTGCGGGAGCTGTGTAGATGAAAGCAAGTGGAATGAGACAAGACTGGCAGATCTCAGTGAACGCCGCAATTCTTTGATGCCATAACACGTCAAATTTTATTTCATGCTGACAAAAGGCAACATGGACCACTGGCAGGAGCTTTGGAGTTTGAATGGTAGAAAAGGGCCTGGGACGTGTTAGCACATTGACTGAAATCAATGGCGACACTAAGCCTTTTATACCTTGTCCCCAACTTTCATCTCCTTTATGAGATTTCTAGCCTCATAGTTGCAGATCCCCTCCCATGCTGATGTACCAATGGTTTCAAAGTCATCGACACTGAACTATTGGGATGTCTATAAGGCTCTTATATATGGCAGTCGTGAAGAGTGAGTACACCTAGTGCCATATCATGAATATCATCCTAATCAAATCAAAAACAGGACTTTACCTTTACACCCTTTGCCTTGACAAGCCAGGAGTCTGGTTTCACCTTGAGCAGCCAAAATTTCTTAGGCTCTGACATGACTGGGAGTGGAAAAGAATGCCAGGTCGTCATACACTAAGGAAAAGATGATACTTTACGGATATAAATATGAGTTATTTCACCTTTTATATATGGCTTTATAGCTGAGTGGTTATAGTGTGGCATTGCAGTGATACACATGTGTGTGTAATGATAGGTTGTGTGTTCAATCCTTACTCTGTGTCCTCTTTTTTTTTTGAAGAAAATGTTATTTACTCAGACAAAATAAATATTACATAACGCAGTGTAGGAATATGCGTTCGGACAAAGTCAAGCTGAGAAAAAATAAAACACGCATAGTTTCATATTTAAAGGGCCGGATTATCGAAACAACGTACTGCAGATTTAGCACAGCCACATATTGACGCTTATTTACATTTGGCAGACGATAGGAAAGGAAATATTATAACAATGGGTTGACCTTGCTTTTCAGCAAGGTAACTTACCTTACATAGTCTCTCGTAGAAGACAACATGAAATTATTTGAATCTGAAATTCGCCGCCATCTGGGCAAAGGCGTGATCATATTCCCACGCCATAGACGTGTCCGGCAACCGTGACAACGTGATTTACTCTCACAGTTCACGACCACAACCTCCGCTATTATTAACCTCTATCTTGTTTTGAACCACATATAATGCCGGAAAATCCGCTCAAAAAATCCCTGTCAGCAGGTGCGATGTTATAACATCGGATTCCGGACGTCACTTCGGCTCGGTTACCCATCAAGCCGGGCAACAAATTTGACTCCGCCAAATATTGACAGCGCTCTCTTCCTAACTTCCATCATGCAGAACGCCGGCGATATGACGAGTGCGCGCGAGCGCTCTACCATCGATGTTGCAGCGGTGAGGAACATGTTGTACGGCAAGTAACCTTCATTCGGTATTCTGCCTTAGAATGCTCACATATGATGTAGATGGTCGTGCACGCTGGGAGCAAAAGCAGAGGATTGAAAAGATCCTTTCCAGTGACCCCGTGTTTGACAAAATGAAAAGGTAGGCTTGCAGAACATATGTTGTTCTCTACTGAGATGAAATAGGCCTTTTATGACCCGAATGGAAGTATACAACCGTGGCCAGCGCCTTACAAATCGCATATATCGGCTTGAACAGGACTTGGGATGGACGAAAGATGATACTATCGTCGCTTTCTCAGTCCTAGATGACCGCCTTCCTTCCGGTCTACACAGCGATGGTGCGTCGATGTCTCCCTTACGATTTTTATCATATCCTTCCATGTATTTCTAGCATTTGAACCGGTCATTATTGGTCAAGGGTCGCCCGCCCTTTTAGAAAAGTATGCGAAACTGGTTGCTACACGTGGCATCCTCGGATGCTACCTGCAGACAGAGCTCGGCCATGGTTCCAACGTCGCTCAATTGGAAACGACTGCGACTTTTGTTCCAGAGACGCAAGAGTTCGAGATTCACTCGCCTACTCTTACCAGTACGAAGTGGTGGATCGGAGCACTTGGGAAGACGGCGACTCATGGAGTTTTACAAGCAAAGTTGATCCTGCCGAGGGGGAAGGATATGGGACCCCATCTATTTCTCGTGCCACTTCGATCCTTGAGTTAGTTTCTTCTGTCACCTCCTTCTATCCAACTTACTTATTTGGATAAATAGAGGATCATAAGCTTCTTCCTGGCGTCATTGCGGGCGATATAGGTACTTTGTCTTAGAGAGAACTATATGGTGTTGGTACTGATATATTTTATAATCTTTCAACAGGTCCGAAGGCAATGAACGGATACAGTCCTGTTGACAATGGGTATGCGCGGTTTGACCACTACCGGATACCAAAGGAAAATATGCTCTCCAAGTTTGCTCAAGTCACCGAAGACGGTACTTATATCAAACCGCCTCACGCGAAACTGAGTTACGGTGGTGTAAGAACAGTCTCTTTGTCAATATCGCTGTAGAACTGATATGCCATTGTTAGATGATGTACATACGCTCTGGGTACGGCTCTCAGCTTTAGAGTCTAGTGTTGGTCTGATACCGGTGCTTGAAGAATGATCTCTCATTCAGGGTGGGCGGTAGCTCGAGGTACGTCTGATATGAAGGTCCTCTAGGCTTTGATTGACGTCAGAATAGCTATCACCATCGCCATGCGGTATGCCACAGTTCGCCGACAAGGAGACAAGGAGGTAGATGGCCTGGAGCGTCAAGTCATCACGTATCCGTCTGTGTATGGCCGACTATTACCTATCCTCTCGCGTGCATACGTTTATGTCCTCCTGGGCCGGAACATAGTACGCTGTCGCTTGGGTTACGAAAACTGTTACTAATCATCCTACAGTTCAAGTCATTCAATGCCTTCTATCGGCAGCTAGCGTCTGGTGACATGTCTATGTTGCCTGAAATGCACGCCATCACGAGCGGACTCAAAGTCCTATGTACGGCAACGACTATGGCCGACATTGAATCGGCGAGACGGTCCATGGGAGGGCATGGGTACAGTGCCTTTGCAGGAGTAGGCAAGCTCTATGCGGATTACCTTCCCAGCGTGACGTAAGCTCCTCTTTTCTGTCAGAATTTATGGTCTCTCTGATGTATCGACAGGTTTGAAGGAGAGAACTTTGTCCTAGACAAACAGGTCCTGCGCGCAGCGCTCAAATCCTCAAAGGGCGATGCCTCAACTCTGTCACCCTTTTCGCAGTATCTTCGCCTTCTCCATGGAAAGCAGCAACTTCCCATCTCTTCATGGCAGGACCCAGCCGAAGTCGTGCTGCTGCTCGAATGGCGTGCTGCATCGTTGGTGAGGGATGCCGCGGAGATTGATGATGACTCAGATACCAGCATCACCCAACGAGTTTCGAAGGCTGTTGCGGAGGCATTTGTGGCGACCCAAGTAATGGAGATGATCGGTGCTGCAGAGAGCTCATTGAGAGCTGAGGACGCCTCGGTACTGAAAGGGCTCTTCATGCTTGTAAGCAGGCCTCTATCTTCTACTCGGCAAGAGACTGACAGGACTTCCTGCAGTACCTTCTATCTACAGTCGAAGGGTCCTTGACAGATTTCTTGACATTCGACCTCATCAAAGGCAACCAAACAAAGAACCTGCGAAGGGCAATGTCCAGCTTTTGTCAAGAATTACTCCCCAATGCGATTGGGCTTACAGATGCTTTTGGCTCCTCAGATTGGGAGCTCGACAGGTTTGTGTTTGATGCATTTTGATGATGGTTAGGGCTGATAGTGACATTTACAGTGCCTTGGGTGTATACGATGGGAGGGTGTACGAGGCGCTTTGGGCCAGGGTACAGACGGAGCCTTTGAATCGGACAGAGGTACCTGAGGCATACGAGGTTGGTGGTTTACGATCTCTTCCTCATGTTTTTCTCTTATCTAATGCCCTGGAAGGAGTCCATCAAACATATACTTCACCGAGGAAAGTGGTTAGCGAAGCTGTGACATATACCCGCCATCATACTACCATGAATGAGACCACCCCGCAAGGGCACATGGTGTAGTTGGTTTATCACGCCCGCTTAGCAGCGTCTTATGGGATTTTCGAGTGCGGGAGGTGTTGGGTTCAATTCCCAATGTGTCCATTCATTTTTTCGGTTTTATTTCATACGGTTAATCATTAGTAATTACACAGTAAATGATACATACTACGTCCGTCCTCCGAGCCTCGAGGTTCGATGTTGAACGACTCACGAGTCATCACAAACTTGAATGTTCAATATTCGACATTGGTTTTGAGTCTTCCCTGTGCAGGCAAGTCATTGTGATCGAAGTTGGTCGAAGTTCAAAATGCGCCATTCTCAAACTGGTGGCCATCTGTGGGAACAAACAGTCAAGTACTGGTACGAGGATTCCCAAGGTCATGGCGTACAACTGGGCATGGTAAGTACCTAAACACTACTCCGATTCTCTACTAAATGGATAATGAACAGGTTCTGAAAAGCACAAAGTCGAACCCCGCGCTCTGCTCGGCACACGCTACTTTGCTGGATATGGGGCGACGGCATGAGAGCAGATGACGAAGTAGCGGCAGAAGAGGATGTGGAGGGGCACCTCACCATAACGTCGTCGAAAACATCCAACATCGCACTGAAGGATACCAATGCGACATCTCAAATTGGTATGGAGAAAGGTAGTTTTCGAGGACTGAAGCTAACAATTATCGATGGCATCGAGGATACGGTTGATTATTGATTGCTGCATCTGAGAAGGTCGACGATCAGGGGAATCCGTATATGATTTTGGGTAAGATTACCGGGAGAGAGGGTGTCATGAAGGGGTGGGATTTTATCCGTTTGTGGCGAAGGACAGTGCGGATATGTCAGCAGCAGAGTATCATCGTTTGGGGATCTATATTGATGCTCGAGACATGGAAGACGAGGCCCTGAGTGTCAAGGAAGAGGATACGGAGTCAGAAGACTCGTCAGAATAAAGTCGAAAGCTGGGGAATGTGACTGTCCAATTATTGTCTGAATATAAATCATATACGATTGATATGTTCATACTGCATTGTAAGTTCGTCTAGAAATAGTCAAGACCTGGTCCATCCTTGCCCGAGTGGGGGTTGGAGATATTCAAAGGGCATGGGAATTTTCAGTAGTCAGCCGCTATTCCCAGAAATTTTGCAGTCCTCTACAACCGGAGTCGCGATTCACGAAGTAATGTTTCGAAAAGCTATAAGGGACGAAGTATTGCTAGAAATCGCCTGCTGCACAATCATCACATAGTATCGTTTCTACTATTTTATGATAAGACTTCGTACGGATTAAACTTGAGAATGTTATCATGCTCGCGGTCTCAGCCTCTCATGCCCATAGTAATGATGATATCTTTTGTTCAAATCTTTTACATACATATGGACTATGATGCCAAGTATTGCGGGTCGAAATCCATTGCGAGAGCTGTGTAACGCGCTTGATTACGACCCACATTATTTGACCGACATAGGTGGGGGGATAGGGGTGGTACACAATGAGTCCGGAGATCGCAGTTCCTCGGAACTGATGCCCCGGACGATACATATATAATTCTTTATGACTATCGGGGGGAAGTCAGAAGGCTGTTAAAGATATTGTGCATAGAAAGGACCTCACCGAAGGAGAAGGAAAGGAAAGAAAACTAAGATGGAAAATGAGAGGGATATTGACCACAGTCGCGCGATAAGCTCTAACATCGCGAGGCTTCTGAGCAAGGCCCCTACCAAGAAAAGAATGAGGAGCGACGCTAGAAACCAACTCGGTCAGCATACACCCTCGGTAGAAACCAGGACTTGCTTATTAGATCCTGCACCGGCGATTATACTTCTGTACAACAAACTCATGAAAAGGTCCGAAAACGAGCAAATAAAGGGACATACCACGACCTGGCGCCTGAAATCCTTAACCTTCCACAAGGACTTGTAGATCGGGACGCATTTACAACGCAGCATCGCCCAAGCGTCTGTCCATGGATATCTGCTTGTAAGCCTGGTCTCTTCGTGCAAAGCACGAAACGAATCTTCTAATCTAAAGTTGCGTTCCAGATATCAAGCTGAGAAAACACATTACAGCAGCGCCGCTCACCCGTAGAACATGTCCCAGAGTGCTCTGGAGACATCCCTCCCCAGCCGCCCCGCCTCCGCAGCTTCGATGAGATCCCCGTGGGCGCCATCGATTTCGTGATCTAGGATGATGATGGCCTCAGAAGGGAGGGCCCACGACATGAGCTCTCGCAGTGCAAGAATGGCGTATTGAATCGCCGAGTCATCGTACTCCAGAGCCGCTAAGACCAAATGTATGACTAAGAATGGTACCACCGTGAAGCGTTGGTGCATAGTTCGGATAGTTCGGACGGGTGGTTCGCTTTGGGGGGCGGGGAGGGGGAATGAGAGCGGAAAATCTCCTAGGATGCTGTGGCAGACGCATATATATCGGGGAGAGATCGATTTATGTAAATATCCGGCCATGAGGAGATTAACTTGAGCCACATAACCACATATGCATTCGCTGAGCTGTATATGATTTTGAGTTATTATATCCTAAGGGGAAAAGGCTGACAGTAGACGACCGTTCGAGTTTCCTAGGATCTTGGCTCGCTGGAGCCTTGACGAATGAAAGACGGGATGTTTGTATTCCGAAGACTGGTGGGACAAGGCTTCTGGTACGAGCCGAGGTGATGTATGCCTTGAAAATATCATCGAGTAGGCATGTCCAGACAGGCTAGCATATTCTCAGACATTTTATTCTGGCACCTAGGTTCGGGTAATCCTGTCGGGAGAGTGAGGTACTGCCTAAGAACTAACCAAAGCGTGAATGAAGTTGAAAAAAAAAAAGGTGACGGAAGGCCGGTCCGGGATTCTGTTTCTTTTTATTTTGCACCTTAGTGTCTCCCGAATACGGGCATATTTTAGGACCAATTCATTCATCAAACTTTGGACATTCTCCTACACAAACCTGGACTGCGTCGCTCCATTGGCATCTACTCGTCGTCTTAAAACGCTTTGGCAACTGCTCATCGTTCTCCTCACTGTGCAGTCAATATATTCCAATTTTCTTCTTGTCTGGGTTTATCAGCGACTTTTCGAAGTCCTGCAGATATGCATCCTTGCCATGCGCTATGCATGCTATCTGCCGCGCTTTCCCGCCACTGAGCGGAGAAAGGTTTCGCCACTTATCGCCAGGAATGCATGTTAGTGGTCGACGTTGCCCGTTTTCGTGGGGGAAGCTGAGGGGTAGGGGGAAGGGAAAGGGCGCACTTGAGCCTTTCTTCGACGACCCATAAAGCTGAAAGCGAAGGTGCGATTCCACCAGGGTCAGTCATTCAGCAAACGTTGACGCACAATGAAGATCTTTGTTTTCCGTTCTGTTACAAGAGAGAAGTAATACTTGTGACAATACACGGAAATGTCTTTGTACTTCGCAAGTCTTTGAACGAGGATAACAACCAGTAGTGAGCGCCGGTATCCTTTTCGTTGTTCTCCAAATTAACACTTGTTGTAACAATAAAGCTAGTGGCAATCCTTTGTTCCAAGAGCATAAAAGCTGGACCAATTTCTTCCATTGCTACCACCATTCGAGCCTTTGAAAATGTCTGAGCCCACCAACGAAGACAACGAGGTCATCATCGCAGAAAGAGGCGACCAGCGTCTCGCCATACCCAAACGCACCTTTTTGAAAAGGTCTTTCTCCGTATGGTGTCCTCTCGTCTGATCATCGCTCCATCATTTAAACGCCTTGGCAGTCCTTCCAAGCCTATGCAAACGAACAGCTTGATACTGCTGGAAGCACTCTCGTCACGCGGTCACTAAGAGGACAGGAAGGACGGGAAATACGCATCCCAAGGCAGCACTGGGCGGAGGTTCAACCGCTGATCCGCTCTGTTCAAATACAACCACCGCCGCCCCCGCCTAGTACGGGCCTCTCCGATACAGCAAAAAATATCATCTACGCAGTGACATTCATGGTTGTTGTGATATTCTTGAAAGCGAATGTTTCTCGTACGCAGTCGTCTCCTTTACCCTGTATACCATCGGCTGATTGAACTTCTTTAGTTTGACTCAGTGATGGCACGAATCGAGTACTGATATTCGTATTCACAATGTTTCTTTCTTCCTTGTTTTGCTATGCGATTGCACGTTTGATCTGACATGAATGTGTCACTCTCCTTTTTCATCATGCTCTACGAGTCTTCTTGTCGCGGCAAAGCTATTATCCTTCTCCTACCCTCGTACGACCCTCTCTTCCTTGCCTTTTTGATAACATTACCCGATCCACGCGTTCGGGAAACGTAAAACGCGTCACTGAGAATCTTCACAGCATCATAGGCTAGTAGATGTGAAGAAAGTTGAGGATTCGGTATGTTCGCCGATCGAGGGTTGAGCTGGTTGTCACACCTCTACTCTTTCCCTAGCACCGACTCCCGGAGATGAACATCACAGGGTGAGTGCCGCGTCTGATTCGTATATTGAAACAAAATATAAATATTCGCAGTCCTAGACCGGCAATATCATTGTTTTCGGTAAGTCGACAATCAGCGATCGAAGATTATAGAGCACGAAGGGATGATGCCACGAACGCACGATATGGTCCAACATTTATTTTTTGTATCGAATATTGAGGAACACCGGTCCTGCCTGAGGCCAGACATTATTTCGTCCGCTCGGTACGTCTTGTAGCCTACAGGTAAGATCCACCTTTTATACCATTTTTGGCTTGACGTTTCACTCATGTGTCGAAAGTCTCATATAGTGGCGCATCATGGGTTAGTTGTAACCAACACCGGCATTAGCCATGTTCACACAGCTACGAGCGTCCGACGTTCGTTGCCCCAAAATAACCCAACTGTCGTTGCAATATGCCTAGCAAGTCGTTTTGCCGTTTCCCTGCCGAGTTCCAGGACGTTGTCCTGTATGTTTGAGCTAGGGCATCGCCCCTTGCCTATCAGGATTGTTTGTATTCCTGGACGGTGAGTTATAACCCGAGCTATCGATTATTCTTGCCTCGAAGTTCATATCCGCTTCATGACCAGATGCGTGCAAGGACTCGGCAGCGGACTGCAGTGTCATTAACGAAGCAGGGATTGTCCACGTGCTAATGGCGTCGCGGAC